GATGATGGTCTACACAATGGTTCTCACCCTTCCTAATGCTGTGATCCTTTAATACAGTTCCTCATGTTGATGGTCTAGACAGTGGTTCTCACCCTTCCTAATGCTGTGATCCTTTAATACAGTTCCTCATGTTGATGGTCTACACAGTGGCTGTCACCCTTCCTAATGCTGTGACCCTTTAATACAGTTCCTCATGTTGCGGTGACCCCCAACCATAAAATTATTTTCATTGCTATTTCATAACTAGAATTTTGTTACTGTTATGAATTGTAAATAATCTGACATGTAACCCCCATGAAAGGGTCATTTGACCCTCAAGGGGTCATGACCCACAGATTGAGAACCACATTAAGACAATTGGATTTTTCTCGTGTTTCCTGAAGGGGCTGTGCAGCAGCTGGGCATTAGGGACAGCCTCTATCCAGAATATTTTGCGTTTTTGTCATTGAAGTTTTCCTAGATGTGGCTCAGTTCTACATCTACAGCAAAGGTAGCATCCGGCCCTGCCATTCCTGAGTGTTTCCCAGATAATAGATCAGATAAGAGTGAACATATGAGAGTGTGTGAAGACGTGTGTGGATGTGGGTAGGATTGGGAATAGAAGGCAGGGTGTGACTGTGGGGCTAATTGTGTGCTTATGCTCTGGGGAGAGAGGTAAGATATGCTCGGCAGGATAAGGGTAAGCCCAAGGCATAAAGGCCTAGTTAGCCCCAGAGAGTCCATCTTTGTGGCCAGCAGGTGTCCTTAGTATGGCTGGCACCAGGATCGAGTGATATCCTCCCAGTGTCCCTGGAGGAGCCAGGAGTGCTGGTGACTAGTAGGCCAAGCATCTCTGAGGAGGTGGGGGCCAAGCCTCTGGCATTTCCCCTCATGAGCCAAAGGAATGCCGGAGAAGCCCCAAGAACAATGGGGAGCTGACAGCCTCTCAGAGGATCTGTGACGTGGGCCCTAAAGAGGGAATGCACAGCTGCTGGCCAGAACTTGGGAGGGGAGGGGTCTGGCAGGGATACAGAGAGGCTAAGGAATCCTTGAAGGAAGAAGACGGAAGCAGCTGGGGATGACACTGATCGGCATTTCCCGCCTCAGGATGCCCTCCTGCTTTCTTCACTTCCACTGCAGCTGCAAAAGCAAAAGCTGCAACTTCCATCCGGTCCCCAAAGGCCATTCTAGAACTTCTGGAGTTGTAGGCCCCGGTGAGCCACGTCCACTCTTCCACCCCACCCAGTCCCAGAGGAAGGCAGGCAAACTGTCTACCTCAGAGTAGAGTGCCTTCGTGGCCTAAAGGAAAGTGTTTGCCTATGTAGCCCTTTTCCACCTTTGCCCAAAGCGGCTAGGAGGGCATCTGTCTGAAGGTGTGCGCACCTTCTTGCTCTCACTGATGTGCATCTGCATCCGTTGCTCAGCCTCCGTCTTCTCTGTGGGTGCTTCAGTGAACAGTGTTTAGTCACAGGCAGATTGAAGCCTTTCTCTTTAAGAACCTCTTGGTTTTTTTCTCACCGTGGTAAAAAAAAAAAAACTTCCCATTTTTAGAGCAAATGCCTGAGATAAACACATTGTAAAGAGGAGAGGTCTGTTTCATTTTAGTGCTCTCAGTCCATAATCAATTGGCCCCATTATTTTGGCCGTGCGTAGCAAGGTAGCACACCATTGTGGGAGCATGCAACGGAGAGAATTGCTCACCTCATCCCTGGTAAGGGAAAGAAAGCAAGAAGATGACACGGAGTCCCACAGTCTCCTGCAAGAGTAGCACCCCTATGTCGGTTGGGATTGACTGTGAACTTGACTGGATTGAGAGGCACCTAAGTAATTAGCAAAACACACCTTTGGGAGTGTCCATTAGGCTATTTTCAGGGAGGATACTTGCTTTATTCTGTTGCTATGATAAAGTGATCTGACCAAAAGCAACTTGAGGGAAGGGCTTATTGGACTTACATTTCCAGGTCACAGTCCACCTTGAAAGAAGTCTGGGCAGGAGCTCATCAGGAACTGAAACAGAAATCAGAGTAATTCTGCCTACTGGCTTGCATACTTAGCTTTCTTGTACAACCTGGGATCAGCTGCCCAGGGATGGTGCTGCCACAGTAGGCTGGACCCTCCTGCACCTATTAGCAATCAAGACAATGCCCACACATTCTTTTCTCCTGTAAGTTACCTGCTCAGGTATTTTGTCACAGTGACACAAAGTCTGTTTAATGCAGCTCCCAGTGACCCAACTTCCTTCTGGTAGGCCCTATCTTTGGAAGGTTTCACTACGTCGCAACAATGCCATATTGGGTACCAAGTCTTAACACGTGGACCTTTAAGGGACATATAAGAATGACCCTATATTAGACGGTCCTTCTGCAGACACCTGAACACTGTCGGGGTAGGAATGACCTCAGGTGTGGATACAATAACAGTTACCCTTGGTTGAACATCTTTAGAGCACAGGGGAGCAGCCTGCTCATCACCTTGTAGGTACACAACAACAAGCTGTTGTTGACTTACAGCAGGTCAGCTGGGCTGATTCAGAGAATCGAGTGGCTGAGGACCAAAATTAAGGGTGAGCTCTGCTGGAGATCAGACACCTTAGAACCGTTCAACATGAGACCCGGTACCATAGTCTATTTTGTTACTGTAACAGAATACCGCAGACTTGGTCATTTACAAAGGAGAGAAAAACTTATTTTTCTCATTGTTCTGGAGACCGGGATGTCCCAAGGCATGCTGAGAGCATCTGGCAAGGACTTGAGTGCTTCAGTGCTGTATGGATGATTTCACACGAGGGCAAGTGACAATGTGCAAAATAACCACAGTGTAAAAAAGCCACTCTAATAAGAATGAGCATACTCCTGTCAAAACAAACGCGTTCCTTTAATCCATTCATGGTGGCTGCACCTGCCAGTAAGCCTCACTCCTCAACACTGCTGCACTGAGACTTAATGGTCCAATACATGGGATTTCAAACCAGAGGAAAAAGTGCTTAGAAATCAATTAAACTTCTGCTGTGTAGAACCATTACCATCAACCACATCTGGCTAGAGAGCATTTGAAATGTGGCTATTGCAAGAGAAAAGATGTTCTCTAATAGACAAATATATATGAGAAGTAGAAGAATTTGCTTGAGGAAAATAATGTGAAATATTTCATTAATACTCTATACTGATTATATGTTAAGATGATGACATTTAAATTTTTGTATATAATCAAATAGACTACCAAGTATATAAAGGGGGTGCTGCAGGTATGGCTCAGTGGTTAAGGATACTTGCTGCTCTTCCAGAGAACCTGAATTCAGTTCTCAGGTTCCATGTCAGAGGTTGACTGCTTGTAACTCCAGTTCCAGAGGATTCAACTCCATGTTCTGGATCCCAGAGGCACCTGTATGCATATGTATGCCATGTGTACACATACACACAAATCAAAAATAAAATAAACTTTAAAAGAATTGCGAAGGGGCAGGAGGAGCCCTTTGAAGCGGAGGAATACATTCACTATCTGATTGTGACGATGGTTTCCCAGATGCTAACATACATCAAACCACACACTTTCAATATGTGTACTTCATTATGTGCCAGCTGTATAGCAATAACACTGAAAAAAATTCCCACAATAGCTTCACCATTACTGCACGAGAGGGTGGAAGGACTAATTTCCTCTCTTTAAGCTTTTTCAGTGAGGCTACTAGAGTATTTTGAGTTACACATGCGACTTGCATTGCATTTCTATTAAGCAGGGCCAAGCTAGAGGTTCTTTTCATTTTACATATTGTAAAACTAAGGCACAGAAAGGAGAAGGAGCCTGCTCATATAATGAGATGGAGAAGATATTTTACCTCACAGCTAGCACCAGCATCCACAGAAGTAGGGGTATGCTGGCAAAAACCTTGAAGTCTGCTTTTAAGGGTAGAAAAAGGATGCTCGTCCCTGGCTTTCATACCTATAATAGGTACAAAGACCTTTGGAGGCAAGGGAAGAATTTGGAATCACTTTGGAAATCTTGAAGGAAAATGGCAAGGAAGAGTGGAGAAAGGGACTTGGAAGATGCAGGCAGATGGAGGAAGCTTGGGTACTCCCCCAAGAGCTCAAGAGCTCAAGCTCTTGAACTTCCTGAAAGAAGTTCTTGCTCTCTCATCGTGTGCTTGGGAAGAACTGAGGAAGGGCCAAGGTTTCAAACCTTGGTCACTGTGGTAGGAGACCATGCCCAAAAACCACAGGAACTGGGGGGGGGGCAAAGAGGGGCACAAGGTGCACTTTCCCTATTTCCACATCCAGTGAAATTCACATATCATGGGTAGGACTCTCTTGTCATTGACCTTGGCACAGAGGTGAAGGGAGGCTAATTAATGCCATTTAGGTCTTAAAGGTCATGGGGACCTGGGGAAAGCTTAGGAATCCACTTGAGTGGTTAGAAATGCGAAGTCAAAGAACAGAGGGACTGTAGATTTGATTACTATCTCCCACCCCTTCCCTTGATTTAACAATTGAATAATAATAAAAGGATTCAGGAAGCTTTTGACACACAAAGCCAATCTCCATCCCCACTCACCATGCTAGGTGTTGCAAAATGCACAAAAGAAAGCACAATCACTTGAAGCCTACAGAGAAGTCACTTCAAGAGTGCAATGGACAGGAATCAGATAGCAGGGTAGTTGAAGGACACAGGGACTCGGGAGAACACTGAGAAAATAGCTCGGCAGGGTGGTAGAGCCCAAGTCCAGCCTTGCTAGATAAAGGGCCTGATTCAAGGGACTTCTGAGTATGTCTAGAATCCTTGGGGAGGCGGGAAGGGTGAAAGGAAGCAGACAGCATCTGGCAGTACAAGCACACCAGGAACCGAGTAAGTTGTCTGAGAAGGATGCCACTTCTGTTTTCTGGGAAGTACTGACAATTCTGAGCTGAGAATAGGCGGAAAGCTGTCTAGATTGGCTCAGGGTATCTCATGATCACCAAGAGGGGTCAGTGTGATGGAGACCACTTGGTACGCACTTTCACTCTGTTCCCTTTGGACTCTTCTCCAAGGTCTGCTGTTCTGACGAAGGATCACTGGCATGTACATCTTCCCAACTTGATAGTGACGGGTAAGTCTAGCTCATGACATCGTTCTGGGAAGAGATGAAGTCCTGAGTAAATGTGTGTTGTTGACCTGAACACATCCATGTTGATGACTCCAATGCCTAAGACCCACTAGAATATCAAAACCCTCCCCGGGTCAGGATAAGGGAAATGGCAAAGCCTTCCCCTGATTCAAGTATCTTTAGCTAAAATCAGTGCATGCAGAAAATCTTAGCTTCTTCCTTCAGGAGAACAGCAACCTGAAACTCTTCTCCAGGAAAGATCCAGTTAAAAGGTTGGGGGGGGGGACATTTCCCCTGAAGTGGGTCAGAACATGGCATTTGATTTGGGCTTCAAAGGAAGGCAGGGATGGCAAGTTATTGATACTTTATGAAGACGATGACTGTATTATTAGATTGCCTTTTGAAAAATTATTTTATTGAACATGTGTGTTTTGACTGTCTGTATGTTGACTGCCTGCATGTATGTAGATGCACCTGAATGCACCTGGTGCCCATGGAGGCTAGAAGAAGGCATTGAATCCCCCTAGAACTGGAGTTACAGATGGTGGTAAAGCCACCACAGGGGTCCTGGAAGCTGAACCCAGGTCGTCTGCAAGAGCTACAAGTACTCAGCTGTTGAGCTCTCTTTCCAGCCCCGTGCTGTCTTTTTCTATGTGCACTGCAAATGAGTAATCTAGGCTCACCACAATCCTATGAAGTAAGTACCCTTACCATCCCCATTGAACAGATACAGAATAGAAGCTTAGCAAGGTTCAGTGTGTTGCTCAAGGCCACACAGCTGGTTAGAGCTGGAACTAGAATCAAACTTAGCAGATTCTATGCTGTAGCTACTATTCATACTACCTCTGGGATGGGCACAAATGGTATGAGGGTGGGTGATACAAGCTATGCCTTGAATAAGCAGAATCAGGGATTGATGCAAGAACACCTGGCTGGCATCTTGTGGAAGGCAGAGGTTGTCTGGATGGCCTGAAGGAGAAGTCATCCAAGAGCAGGTAGAAAAAAGTGTTTCAAGCTCCATCTTCAGGTACCCAAGGGTGCCATAGTGCTTTGGAGGATTCACCAGTAGCAGCATCCATTCATGCCTGAATCAAGCAAGGAGATGCCCCTCACCCCGACTGTACCCAGAGGCTGCTCACTTTCCAAAGGGCTTCACTGAGCCCCCACTTAGTATCTGTGAAGCTCTAAAGTCAATGTTCATTTGAGGACAAGAATGGAAAATCCATCATGCTCCAGGCAGGAAATTCCACAGTGAAGGCCCTTGAACTGTATCCCTGCGGCATGAGCCATCCCCCATGCAAGACAGGTTCCGTTCCTGTTTTGTTTGTTTGAGGACTGGATGTTGTTATTCCTGCTCTGCCTGTGTTTATGTCAGAGGACGTTTACCATCAGAAAACAAAGTCCAGGCCAGGGTCGGGCCAGTGCAGCCCACTGTGGAGTCCTTCACTGTGGCATTTCCGGGCTTGCTCGTCCTGATGAATTTCTCAATTGAACAACATCAAAGATCTTCTCTTCTAGCCTTTCTCTCATCTTCAAGGGACTGTGGTGCTGAGAGGAAGCCATTTGATTCTTGAAGCAAGGCAACATTCTAGGCTTGACGTCCCTGCCTGACTCCAGCCTGAGTGCCAAACAGAATAGTCTCGTCCATTATACCCAGTAAGCAGCATCATAGAATGCCAGGCCCTGACCATCAGTCTTCCTTCAGGAGGTATTGATTTTCAGGAGGCCAGGGCCAGGCCTGGAAGGGTAGCCTTGGGCATCACTTCTCATTGAATCAGATCTCAGAAGTGGAATGCTAGACCGCAGAGGCAACACCACCTGCCTCCAGTAGGAGCGTCTTCATTTTGCAGATGAAATAACGGGGAGGCAAGTGGTCTAAAGACGAGGAAGTGTGCAGGAGTGGTGCTGAAGATCAAGGCTAGAAAGAGAGAAGATTGAGAGTTGGAGAACAAGGGCTACACACAGGGTCTCTGAAGCCTTCATGCCCGAAGTCCCTCAATGCCTTTCCTTCGTTTCCTCTCAGGCCTCCATCTTGGGTGCTTGTCTTCTGGCCTGGGCCAGAGCAATCTCTTTGACTCTTTATCACCTACTGGTTCCTGCTACCAGCTGACACGTAACTAATTCCATCTCCTTGACAGTTCAATGTAAGCCCCTTTGTCTGATGTGGCTCTCACTGTCCTTCCGTTCCCTGTGGGCGCCAAAATGTCTAGGCTGCAACATTTTGCATTGTGCCATGTACCAAATAGCTGTGGGTTTCCTAACATCGTCCTATGTGAGTGAACCCTATCCATCAGTCAGAATACAGACTTCTCCTCTCCCTCCTTGCCTTCCATTCAGTAAATGATGCCCTGTGGGCCAGTGAGGTATAGATTTAATCCAGGTTCCTGGTCAACATGGAAATGAACTGACCATTTTGACTACTAGTGACTGAGGACAGGGACAGTGAATGGGCTGGTAACAAATAGAATTAAATGCAAAAGATAAGAGGAAAAGGGCAGGCCCTGTAACCCAGTTGGTTGAGTGCTTTCTTAGTTTGTACACCAGCCATGGATCCTATCCCCAGCATTACAAAATTTGTAAAGTATATAAATACATAGGAAGAATTTGATTGGGAAAAGAAGCCACTTCCCAAGCAAATGGAGGGACATGGTGCATTGGCGATATCCAGAAACTGAGGACAGTAAAGAGAAAAATGCTGACAGGGGACCCCTCTCCTCCACTGTCAGTCCTTCCACCTGGCACTGGGGGATAGGGAATGGGCACTGTACCGAACCAGCCAGAAATATTCCCTGGCCTGGGTCTTGTGGACATCATACTACATGCTCATCCCCCTAGATTTAAGGTCTTCCGAGTGAGGCACTTAGATCTGAGCATCAGCACCTATGAGAGGAACAGGCAGATTGGTCCTTCTGTAACTTTGGTTCTTCTCACTACTTCTCCCAGCACCTAGCATCATTCCTGGAGTGTACAGAGTGCTCAGCATGGTCTCAGTAATAGAATCGTGTGCTTATATATCACCTACTACGTGACAGGCTATGCTAGGTGCTTTACAAACACAACCTCAACCTTGACAACCCTACCAGGACAGTATTATATTTTAGGTTCATTTATAGATGAAAAATCAGGGTTGGAGCTATAGCTCAGTTGTTAGAGTGCTTGCTTAGCAGCCATAAGGCCCTGGGTTTACTACCTATTACTGTAAAAACTAGGCATGGTGGCATATGCCTGTAACCCCATCACTCAGAAGGTAAGATCAGGTTTAAGTCCATCCTGGACTACACAAGACTGTTTTGAAATGTGTTAAGTAAATAAGAGTAAATGCTGTTCAGAAGGTGAAATGGACCTTTATGAAAGGTCAGACACCAAGTGTATGCTTAGGTTGGTACCCAGTTCAAATCTACCTGATGCTAGAGTCAGGTTCACAATCAAGCTGCACGCAGTGTGGAATTAAATCCCCGACAATGACCTCATCAGCACTGTGCTAAAACCAAAAGACATTATAAATCTATGAAATCGGGTCTGAGATATATGCCCCCCTGAGCTTTGAAGGTACCTCTTCAGATGAAACTCTTAACAGGGGAGTGACTGCAGTATGGGGACTGATGGAGGATACCTATGCCAGGGCTGTTTTCACACTGAAGATAAACTAGTAAACTAAGAAGGCAGGCAGAGAGCAAGGCTTTTGTCCTTGAGGCTCCCTGCCTGCCCCTTTCATTAGTAGGGAATGGGGTCCTTCGGCATGGCTACTTCTAAAGCTTGGGGGTGGGAATTTACCTTTGGACATAACCTCTTATGCCAAGCCCCATCCAAAGAGAAAAGATCCACCTAGGCCATATCAGGCCAGTGCAGAAGGCCTTGTACATACAAATCATGGGGCCTGGCTCCTGGTGGCAGCCCCACCCACTTCCGGTCTTTGTTCAGGAAGTCACTTTCTTGGTAACATCTATCCTGGTCACCATATTTAAAATTGCTCCTATTCCTTAGTCTCCTTCTACCTTTTATTTTTCTCCAGTGATGTTGATCACCAAGTGGCATTTCTGCATGTTCAGTTTGTCTTCTGTCCCTCTCTACTGCACTGTGCACACCACAAGAGCACAGGACTCTAGGCTGCTGCATTTCCTAATAGAATCTCAGGACCAAGAATTGTACCTGCATGAGGGAAGTCGGGGCTTCAGCTGTTTGTGAGCTGTGTATGACACTCCTCACTCTGTGACACTCCCTGACTCTTCCTCAGGGACACACATGGGGCTTAGGAGTAGCCTTCATAGAGTGAACTAAGCAGGCCAGTGTGAGACCCTAACTTCAAGTAGAGACAAACCCTTGCATACATGACTTCCCTGCTGAGATCAGTGACTGCACCCTGTGTGCTCAGAGAAGGGCTGAGGTTCAGGTACGAAACTGATGCAAAAACTCAGCAGTATTGGGGAAGTTGTTTGTTTACCACAACTGTCAGCAGACAGGATCTAAACTACGGGAGGAGTTGATGTAGCACTTCCTAAGCAACCTGGGTCAACAATAACCACAACAAAAACAGGGGAATTCCCCAGGTTAATGACTAATAATAGCTCATTTTATGCTTGCCAACTGTGTGACCTCGGGCAACTTCTTTGACCTCTCTGAGCGTAGACTCATACGTTAAAAAGTGGGCTTCTATGAAACTAAGATGAATTAATAGAAGGGAGGCCTCAGAAACAATGCACAGTAGTGGGTGATCAGTATATACATGTTACTCACTCTTTGGGGTGGTGTTTTTAGATCATCAGTGTCTCTAGAGTGGACCCATGGTCCCATGAGTCTAGCACAAAATACATAAGCTGAGGGAGGAGACTATGATGCTATTGTGGACAGTAAGAGCACTATGAGTTGGTAGCATTTAAGCTGAGACTGGAATGATGGAAATGGTATAGCCTGCAAAGACCTGGGGGAAGAACTTTCCAGACACAGGGAACAAACAGTGAGTGCAAAACACCAGAGGACTTGGGGCTCTCCTGGAATGGATTTGGAGGCCATTGCTCCTGGATGGCTGAAGGGCCATCAGCTGAACCCAGCAGGACTAATAAGTCACAGAGGGAGGATGCCGATGGGCCCAAGTAAAGGTTGGTCTCACATTAGCTCATTCCCTGTAACAGCCTGTCACAGCACATTACAAAATCATCCACATTCAGTCAGGGAAAGACCCCCCCCCAGTCATCCATTTCCATGCCTGGGTTTTAGACATCTCAGAGCCACAAAGTGTCTCCATCTTTGATTTTGTCAATTTAGACTTCACACTTATTCATACATAAGCCGAGCTTCCATTTTTTTAAGCCCCAGTCTCTTGTAGCCCAGCCTTGAACTTGACTGATATATAGCTGAAGATGAACTCCAGATCTTTTGTCCCCATCTCTTGAGTGCTGGGATTACAGGCATGTACTGCCATGGCTGGCTGAGGCTGGGCTCTGAGATATGACTTTGTTAAGCTGCCTCCCAACAGTTGTCTAATGAAGTTCCTGTGTCAAAGAGCAAGCTTCCCAGTATGTCCAAACCACACTGGGAAAGCTGAGAAATTTACATGGTAGGTAGGTTCCCCAAAACTCCTCCTTGGCATCATTCTACTATGATTGATTTGTAGTGGTGAATAATTGGAGGGAAGAAGACAGACACAGAGAGAGTGAGTGTTGCAGTATGTGATAGTCTATGGATTAATGTTAGTCTTTG